GCAACGACTCCGAATAGTCCGAATCGACTGTCGACGAATTTTTATCGTTATTGTAAGCTTGTCGCCGTGACGTTTTTGCAATGTAAAATTGCGATATGCGATCGGTCGGGAAAAAAAAAATTAAAAAGTCAATTACTGTAGGCGGACTTAATTGTGATTAACGCGTTCGTTCATTTTTACGACGAGTATCCGACGATCAGAGAGCGCGGAAGCGATACGGGAGAGTATATACGATTACGTCGTTCAGTAATCCCCCCCCCCCCCCAAACATAGTTGTTGCCGGGCGCGCGGAAATATGTATGGCGAGCAATACGACTAACGTCAAGTTTACGCAACGCGTATTACGTAAGGTGGACGAACGTGTCAGAATACGACCCGGCGGCCCAGAACTCGCGGAAGCGATGCACGCAAATGCCGGCACGTCAAACCGATGCGTTTCGAGACACGGACGCTTTTTTAAGTTCCGATCGTATATACGTCAGAATATTCTTTCTCGCCTCGCGACCGCGCAATTTGCCGGGAGATAACATGGGAACGTGTTGGATAATATAAAGATTTACGCTATACAGATAAGTTTAAGAGAACTTATTGCAAGGAAACGTTAAAACGATACAAACAGATGAGATAAAGCGGAAGAGTTGAATAACTGTTTTTAGATCTTGTAATCGTAATTCGAGATAGAAGCAAAAATTGTAAACCCGTTTCATTAAAAAAAAAAACGTATTTTTATAAAACTGTTTTTCATTTTACAAAACTTGATGAATAATGTGTGCGTACAGTCGAGACAAAAATCTTTTTCAGCTGTCTAGATGATACAATGAATAAAAAAATCATTTAAAAGAAAGTCCTTCCCTTTAAAAGACAAGAAGAACAAATAGAAGGAATCCTCTTTTAAAAGAAAAGCAAGCTTTCCTGAAGATTTTTCTTTTCTTTCTCTCATACCAATTTCGACCGCAAGAGACAAATCTGCTTATTTTCTATCTGGTCAATAGAAATATGTTATGGATATAGCCACACGAAAAAAAAAGTAGTAAAAACAGTATTTTTATCAATCATATTTTAAACAAAATAAATTTAAACATTTAATAAAACTTTTAAATACATAACATTTCTTTTTTCGTAATATTCACAAGCAGATCTGCAAACTCATGTTCGTATCCAAGTCCTTCGATCAAGTTACGATTACGCTGGCGAGCATCGCTAATATATCTCCTTCTTTAAATTCTACTCATTTTGAGAGGGGCTCATTTTGAGCTGAAATAATAGCGTCGTCACGGAAAGACACACCACGTGACGTAAGAGTGTCGAGCGGCGAGCGGGGGGAGTTGCTGTTGCTAGTATTGTGAGCGATAATCGAAAACTTCGTCGCAGTATCGCTAGAAAGATCTGCAACGATCACCAGACGGTATGACGACGACCGTCCGAACATCCGTGCCGACGGTCAAGGTCCGCCATTGGGACACTCGTGCGACTCGTGCATCTAACCGGCAAACCTTGGTTAGAAAAGCGGCAGCACGCGGAACTAGAAATAAATCTTCCGTGCGTTCTCCGCGCGCGCTCCACACAGAGGCATGCATGCGCGCGCGAGCGCGCGTGAGCACCCGTGCACACGCACGCTCCACACACACACACACACACACACACACACATATCACACGCCCCACACACGCATACACGTACGGTAGCACACCGATATTATTTCGCGCGCGTGCAGTCAGGGCCACGGTGACCTTAACTACCTTCCTCCGCACCTCTACCGCCCCCTCTCGTTGTTGGCACTCCGTTCCGCCCCGCCACACCTCCTCGCCACCGAGCGATGATGTATTCGAGGGCACCGGGGGGCGCGGGTAGGGGAAGGGGCACGTGCCGCTCGTGGTGACGTCACGTGGTGTGCACTGCGACGCGATGCACCAACGGCGCCGCCGGATCCTCGCGCGTGTTACCGCTCTGAGATCTAGGTCCATGTGCAGACGTATGCTGACGGGCATGGATATTCTGGCGCGTGCGCGACGTTTTAATAGAATTTGGCTCACGTCGACCACAATCCGCAATTTTTCAGCCCAAATTTGGTAAATGGTACATATGCACGTGATCGAGAAGCCAATTTCGAGCGATTAACGGTGACATGTACATTTGCATAGATCTTTTACTCATAAACTGTTCATTTCGTTTCTCATTCGTCGCGAATATATTACTTTACGATTATTTAACCGGAATCTAGAAAAGAGATATCAATGAAGTAGGTTACAGTCGCCTATCTGGACCAAACGATGTCTGAGCTACACATTATAAATTTCGACTTTGTAATTCTGATGAATTATCGTTGCCCTCCTAGTGAAACCAGTTCTCAAGTTCAATAGAAAAAAAAGAACCAGTTTTCACGTGAGGTTTGAAGATTTAGGTCCACGTGTCGCGCAACGCGCGTGCACGACCTTTCGACAAACTTTAATTCGTGCCAATTACAATCTTCACATTTGAGAGGCTTATGTATGAGTCAATTCTAAGTAGAATCGTAAGGCTCATAATTTGTTCTCGTAAGAACTTGTAATTAAGTCTTGTAAGAACTTATGACCAGAGTTATAATTCTATACGTACCGTAAGACGTATGATCATTCATAAATATCTATAATGATTTCTCGTAAATCTTACAAGTAAGTCTAGCAAGAAGCCGAAGAACAAAAAACCGGCGAGAAAATTTTGCTTCGCACAGCGATGTTTTTCCTCCATTGGAAACAAATCTCAGTTTTGCCGGAATGAAATGTATATTCTTTTAAACAAAGAAGTGTTACGTAAATAAAAAAATTGCCCAACTAATTCTTACGGCCGGGTCCATCGGTCTATAATTCTCTAAAAATCGTCGTTTTTACCGAGCGTTCGTGATCTCATGCCTGTAACAGATTCGATCGAGGCGTTACGGGTGCAGACACGTGACGGAGACAAAGGAAATCTCCACCGGCACAAAATGCACTCGATATGCTCCCGTCGATACGCTCGACTACGGCACTGCGCACGTGGATGCGCGTACGTGCACGCGTGCGCGCGCGCGTCGGAATACGCGGGTGGTGGACAGGCGTGCAGGGGGCAGCGGGGAGGAAGCGTACTACTCTGTCGCACTCACTGTGCGATGCAATACACTCGGCTGGAACTTCCTGACCGTGTTCCTCCCTCTTATTCTTTCTCTCTCTCTCTCTCTCTCTCTCTCTCTCTCTCTCTCTTTCTCTACCTATCTTTCTCCTCTCTTTCCTTCCCCGCCTGTCAGTATCGCCGTTCATGGATGCCGCGATATGGGAACGGTGGCATCGTCTCTCTCTCCTATCTCGATCGAATGACCTTTCTCGCGATGACGAGCACTAGGCGATGAGAGAATCTAGGGAACGACCTTGGTTGCCGTGTTCGTGGAGATATCACCGAGCCGGTCAATTGGGTCAGGTGCGCGCCGATACGCAGCAGGTAGGGTGGCCATCTTTCTCTCGGGTGTGACTAGGACAATGGGGATAGAAGAAACTGGGATATTCCCTAGTTTTTTAAACGGACGAATCGTCTACGTATATTTCCAATTTCTTTTATTAAGTTTTCACAGTTATTTTTCTATTCGCCGAACGTATCGCGATAGAATAAGCGTTGGCACTAACGGTATTATGAACAGTATTGTCGCTTGGAATTTTGAAATTTTAATAAAGCAAGACGACGAAAACGTGACATCCGATTATTTAATCATGCATTGAAATACGAAACTAGAGGAAGCGGAGCATTGTAAAAAATATAAAAGAAAAAGAAGAGAAAGATAGAAAAAAAAGAGAACGCCCCAAGACGATGTTCAGGAAAGAGGACACGTTCATGGAAATCTGATTACTTCAAGTTACATGGGTATTCACGAGTGAAAGTCGAAACCGCATGCATTAGGTTTCGTAAATTACATCGGCGGATCTGATTGACGTTCAATATCGCGAATGACGCGTAAATATTTTCATCTGACGACATCATCGACGCCGATTGACTCGAGATGAATGACTTTAAACGCTTGCGGGCCGTTCGCGACCACCGGTGAAAGTAGGAACCTTCGGTGTAAACTGGGTTACGAATAATATTGATCCGAGAGAAGGTGATGGAGGAGGAGGTGGCGGCGATGGTGGTAGTGCTGATGGTGGTGGTGGTGGTAGATTTGAGTCGCGTTTGCACGCGCAGACTGCTCCACCGATTCCTCGCTTTTTCGATAACTTATATATACTTCCCCGTGTTGCACCCGCAATTTGCGCGGCGACGCCGTTGGCGGATGCCTCCCCTTTCAACCAGAGGTTTTCCCGCACTCTAGATATCGATAGGTTGCTATACGAGAGATAATTAAGAGGAAAAAGTTGTTGCGATGGGCACGCGAGATTACTTATCTCTACTCGTGTTACAAGTCAGATAACGAACATAGTAACAACAAGCATCTCGAATGCAAATTGCATTGCGGGATGCTTTCCGTTGTGCTTTCGTTAATGTTAAAAGAAATTCAAGTTCACATTCCAAAGGGAAGTGATACGTAAGATACGAAGAAGGATTAACTCTAGAATGATTGAAAGATGAGAGGGATACTTTGCGTTCATTATTATTAAAACAAAAATACAAACGCTAAATAACAATCTTTCTATCGAAGTAAATTTTTTTACAAACTTGTGATAGTTACAAAATTAACGTTAATGTACACAAAGTAGCCGCTCATCCCCTGCTGATATTTATCTGAAAATAACCCCACACTGAGAAAAATTAGTAGTTAAAAATGAACCAGAAGATTCTGATCATGTTAATCACAATTCTGGTTATCTCTCAATTAGAATTACAATAAATTCAATCATAAAATTCTGATTTGTCCATTTCCGACCAGAGTTCCAATTAATGCAACTAGACTGTTTTACCAGTGTAAGGTTAAATAGGAGTTTCGCTGCCTGCAATTTCACACCTGCGAAATCTCCAGCGAGCAAGTGTCTAATTACGCGGAGAACGGAAATCGGGCTTACCTGTTCGCTTTCGAAAGTCGCGCAAGCGCCTGGCTCGGTCTCGATCGGGTCCTGGTTGACTTTCGCTCGAATCTGAAAAAAATCATAAAACAGAGGCAGGTTTTTAGCGAGTTCGGCCGGTTAGTTAAGGGGCCACGCTCATCTTAGCGGCTATTTCGGGAGCGGAACGCCGCCTTGCCATCGTCGCGCGCGGAGAGTCGCTATTTCCCGTGCAAGCGGCCGAAAGCAGCAAAAGCACGCGGGACTAAGATTAGCGCGGGGCGATAATACCTCAAGGTCCGGCTTGTTAGCCGTCTTACGAAATACCAAAAAATCGCCGCGCGCGTGTTTACATCCTTGGCTCGGCCGGCGCGCGCTTATGTCATCATCATGTGCGCGAGCTTGGCACGCGCGACGACGACGACGACGACGACGAAGATGACTCCGACCGCCCGTCTTTACAGACTTCTGCATCTCTGACCGGTCAGGGACGTTGCTGCCAACACGCGACAACTGGCGCGGTTTAAATCCATGAGACAATCGAAACACTGCTATTCTCTCTCATACTGATTTCCAGCGATATGCAAAATATCCTATTCGCGTTGCGTATAAATACTCTGCATTTTCACTCGTCAAAGTTCGAAGTCATTTGATTCGAATAGATTAATCCAAAACTTGAACAAGATATAAATAGTTATACACACAAAATTTTGAGAGCAAAAAACAATATGGGAAAATTAAATCTGCCAACAAGGCTTGTAAAAATCAGTACGTGGCGAGATTTCTTGCATGATACATATCTTATTACTGTCTTTCATTATTACAATCTATTACAATGTATCGTGACATTATGTGTTGCAATGGTCATCCTTTGGTCTATTGGTTCTTTGAATTGATGTGATATTTTTATACATTTGACCACTTAGTTTTCTATGAGCTTATTCTATTTAATTCTTCTGACTAATTTTGACTAATATTCGATTATCACTTTGAGATGTTCGAGTGTACGGTGAGTGTTCATAACAAGATTTATATAACTTGATTTTTTCTTCTTATTTTTCTTTCTTTATTCTCACATATATATGGATCAATAATTGGTTGCTTCATATATAATATACAGAAATTTCAAGCTTTCGATCTGCTAATCGTTGAGAAGGAAATTTTGGCCTGGACACGTACCGAACATTCAAAATTTACAAGGGACGAATGCCAATTAGTAAACATTTAAGAACTTCCGGAACAATAATTATGTATATCATCTGAAGATGGCTTAATAATAAGCTGAAACATGTAATGTAATGTAATGTATTGTCTTTTCAAAGCTTTGAGCAAATTTTCATTGTATTTATGTTAGAGATATATATATTTTAATATTTTAAAAATTAACTTGACTCTTATATGTCCTTTTTGCGTTGAATTATATTTGTAATATTCAAGAGTCCTTTTTAATTTTCTTTATTATTAAAAATAAATCAAGGGCTACAAGCCGAGCTGGATCTTAATGCTAAAAATTACTAAACCATAAGTTTATTATACAAACGTTTCGATTGTCTATTGGGTCATTCTCAATGTTTAAGTTAAATACAATATAAAATCAACAACTCATTTGAAAAACAACATGTCAAAACATACAAAGATTAAGAATGGTGAAAGTAAAAAAATATATATGGGCAAATATAGATAATAATTTATATTAACATTTTAATATAGAGACGCTACCTCAAAATTAAATTCTATTTTAATCCTTAAAAATCGCAAATGCGCATATTGACGATATTTAAGTAGAAATTCTCGATGTGATTCCAAAGTTATGCGTAACATCTCATTCTCTTCCTGACTCATTCTTTTTCTGCACGTTACATGAAAATGGGCCGTTGCGAAACGATCGAAAGCGACTTCGTTTTCACTGGTACGAAAAGAGAAAACTAGTCATCTCAAAAACAGACCCGTTGGTCCCGTTACTCGCCAATGTCGATTAAATCTGTCGAATCGATTATACCGATCAATCAAAAATGTTATTCTTTTGCTATAGTTATTTCTACTATATGACATGTTTATCTTGCTAATGGCATCAACTCACAATCGGTCTCGAAAATATAATGTTATAAATAATATATATTAATATAAAAAGAATAATATTTCAAGGAAAGAACATTTCAAATTTGATAGACAAAATTTGAAACCAATATAACTTGCGATGTTCTTAAATAATAATTTGACGGAAATGATCTTCGATACAAATTCTGTATTTATACAGATACTGTTCACAATAATTGCGGTAAATTATATTCTTTATTCATAAATGGAATCTGTAAATCGACTTTAAACTCGAGCCGCAATTACAATTATCAGTTTTCAATTTTGTACGTAAGAAATACGAGAGAGAATCCCGATGGAAAATGAATCAGATCTGATCCAGATGGAACGATATACGCGTGCAAGGCTCACCCTGGTGTTCCACGCCCCAATGCCTTACGCAATAGACTTATCATATTTGCGCGTACGCGTTGGCGTTAATTAAGCTACCACATATTACTACGCGAATGCAAAAAGAATTAATCATGGAGACGTAGCTTCTCGAAGGCCATTAGATTTTTATCATGGCAAATTCCCATCGCGACGGTCGCTTGAATGTGTGATTTTAATGTAAGCTTCAAGGAAGTCAGACTTTATGTCACTAATGCAAAAGACGCTTTTATCACTTTTATTATGCTTATGCATAAGAAACTGACGCGAGCAGCGTGACGTTCAATTTGTAGTACTTCAACTTGAATCAACGGAACGTTCGAATGCCAACGAATAATTAGATCGCGCAACGAAAGTTCTTAGACACGCGCTGTAGAAACGCGAGCTACGTTTAGTTCGAACTAGTTTTCATGAAAATCATTTGTCTTCGTCTGAGAACTTGACAAGCTGAATTGGGCATGCGTTGACGCGACAGTGTATATTATTCACAAAGATTAAGGTCAGTGAAGACTCTAAAAGACGACGGGCGAGGGCAGCTTTGGTGTTAGAAATAGCGCGAACACGCGACTCTGAAAATTAGTTTCAAAGGTCACGGTGGCGTTTGATAAAGAGGCAGCGGAAGTCGCTAATGCTTTACGGCGGTCGCGAAGTAAATAAGCTCTTCAAAGTATGCAACGTGTTAATCGTCTGTAAAACGAGGAACAATCCGTGGAAGTAGCTCGACGAGGCGAATTTCTGGAGATGCCAGAAATTTCCTCCCACCATCAACCGATTAGCACGTTCAGTGAACTTGCGCGAGACAATACGGATTATCGACATCGTCGCATAACACGTCCCGTCGATGGAGGAGGTGAACGAACACCAGAAAAGGTTACTCACCTTCTTACGCGGGTGTTGTTCCTCGATATAGTCGGGCACTATTCCCTCATCCAGCGTAGTCGAGCCCGGGGTGCTGCTCGACGACGAGCCGGACGTGTTGTAGGGGTAGTGCGGCTGATTGTGCGAGGGATGTGAGGTCGCCGGACACGGAGAACTTCTCGTCGGTACACCCTCCTCGCTAAGGGGTGGGCTGGGAGTGCCGCTTCGCCAGGAAGCCCCGCTGCTGCTACTGCTATTTGACATACCGCCGACTCCCGGTGAGCCGGCGATCATGCCGCTGCCTCCGCCTCCACGACTCCCCCAGGAACCTGCCGCAGATCATCGAATTCCTTCCACATTCATTTCGGTCCGGCCAATTACCGCGGAACCTCGGTTCGTAGTTCGGTAATTCAACGTCTCGCGTTTACATGAGATATTACGTATATAACACGATATACGAATAAATAAATATTACTTAATAAATTATTACCCATCGATACTTATTTTCGTGATTTTTCAGTATTCCTTAAGAATCGATTGCTCGCAAAGTAAACGAATCGACGTATAAAGGAAATTCTTTTCGTTATAGAAAGGAGAAAAGTACGACGATTCTGAGATTGCAAATAAAGAAAAGAATTTACTCTACACCCGCTTTCAACATCTTACACCGTATTTTGTGGGAATGTCAGAAAAATGAACACAGTACCGTAATTGTATTGGCAGTGAAGTGGCGGGGGGTTGTGAGGACTGTGAGGTGAGCACGAGAGCGACATAAGGACCAGAGCGGCAGCGCATTCGTCCATGCAATCACCGCGTTCGTTGGTGCGACAACCCTCACGTCCGCAAACCACCCTCTCGCCCCAACCGCTGTATGTCCGTTCGGAATCATTGTTCGAGCTTGGCCGTCGTTTCCTGGATCTGAAATATACATTACCACATGCTATAGGCTCGCTAGATTATATACCGTATATGCGTATATCCGCATGTTGCACGTTGCTCTTTCGAATTGAAAATTCGCTATTACCCTACTTCAAACACGATTCATTTTTCGCGATGGCAAATTAAAGAATTTCCGACTTTATCTCCGATTAATTGAGAAGAATATTACAGGACTCTTTCGACGAAATACGTGTGTATTCTGAAAACGGATATCCGCCTCGATTCTCGATAATCGCTTTTTCAGTGGAACCAATTAATTTTCGAATTTCCGCATTTCGCGGAAAGAGAACGACGCGTACCTATATATCTATTATATAATGTCAATCCATCGATCTTGAACCGAAGATGGCAACGCCTTTAAACGGTGCAACGGTAGATCTTGCAACAGAGAATACATTGTGGCAAAACGGGCCCAAAGTAATTTCCTTAAGAGCTCTCGTCGAATAACAGCATAGAAGGTAATCGACGCCGGAGTTACGGGCGGTGTTTCTGGAATTACGTTTTCCTGAAACCGCATAAAATGATACGTTCTCCGTCTCTCGGTTTCACTTCGGAACGCCGAGCAAGATCGCGCTGTTGTCGTACGGTAATACCCGGTAGCAGGGAACCTATAAGCCGATATAGTCACTTTTCCGGGAAAGACTATAGATTTCCGCGTAAATACTGCACGTGGAGTATGTACCGTTTGTATATAGACGCTCGTACGGGTCGACGTCATTTGAGTCGTTTCCTCTACGGCTACGAATGCTTTCTCCGACCGGACGGAGTGACCAAGTGAAATGTGTGTTCAACATGAATCAACAAGAGATACACAATCCGTGTCTTCGGACTACAAAAATTTACAAGAAAATTGGAAATTGGAAATTACCTTCTCTCATTTCAATAATATTTATAACTGATACGATATCGCGCACAACAAAAATTTCGATGTTGGAGCGATACATTTTCTTCTCAAATTATCGGAATATATCGAGATATAATAAATCAAGGCAGAGAAATTAAAGAAAAAGATTGTATCAATTAAATGATCATCAATTGTTAATTTGCTAGATACATGCAAAACGCAAATAAGGAATTAATGGCTAATAATACAAAGTTCAAATTATATAAATGTTAAACGTAAACGTATGTTTTTAATGGCTTCTTTTGTCTAACTCGATATGAACTTATAATATAGAATCATCAGAGACTTTTCGTCTAACTTTTCAAGAACTCTTCAAGAGACTCGCGCATATTTCTTCTCAAAGATAGCGGATAAATCGCTGTTGCCGATGCAGCTTTCAAGATGATTATCGTGCACTGCTAGGAATAGCGGACTCTCTCCCGGAGAAGGTGGTGCGGGCCCTCTCGAGCCTACGAAGGACAAAAAACACTAGAGAGGGGGCGCGAAAATGACGACGTAGTCAAGGCCGTCGTCGCTAAGTCAGCCGTTCCACTCCCGGAGCGGTACATTGAGAGTCGAAAGTGAAACATAGAATGCCGGCCGGCATAGAGAATGACGCACGTACTAGCCGGTATTTCGAAAGCAACACCTCCCAAGCACACACTTATGCACAGCTGTCCCGTTTCCTTCGTGTACCAACCATTATATATGTCGCGCCACTTAGAACTGGCGAGAAGGCAGGCGAAGGTTACTCTTTCGAGCCGAGACAGTAACGAAGAAATGCCTCAGGCATTTATCGAAACAACTTTTACGGAATCCATCTCGGAATCAGTGTCGTTCTTTTTTATCGAGACTTTTACCGAATTAACAATTTTTTTTTTCATTTAAACGATAGTGCGATAAATATCGCTAATTGAAGCGATGATCTCTTCGTTCTTGTATCCCGATTCCGTAACTCTTAATGGACCTCCTACAATTAATGATAAATCAGAAGCTAAAAATTGACGACTGTGATTGGTCAATTTTTAGCTTCTGACTTCTGATCGATGGCTTATTGTAGAAGGCCCATAACAGTTTGGTATCGTTATGTTGTCGTTGCGCAGATATATAATATCTCTCTCGCAAAGGCATCGTCACTTAAACTGGCGATATTTACCACATGATCGTTTGAAAAAAAAAATTTTCGAGTCGATAAGAGTCTCGATGAAGAAGGAACAACACCCATCTCGAATCGGAGTACTGTCCACTTGAATACTAAAAGTTTCTTGCAAACCTGCGCGCTCGCTATATTTTTCATTTCTCTGACTTTCCTGTTTTTTTTTTTTTTCCACGGTCTCTCGGATTCGCGATTACACTCGATACACTCGCACGACCGTTGCCCGCTAATTGCGAGATTACGATCGCCTTATGATTGCCACGGAAACGGCAGATTCAAGGAGTTTAATTGGAACGGCGCGAGGGGGAAGTGAGTTCGAAGCCGTTTACTTTTGAGGTGAAGCCTTACCGTTACTCGGTATACACGAATTACACCGATATAGATTGAGGGATTGCAAACTCGCGAGATAATCGGCACACGGTTGTAATTAAGACAAACCGGCACTTCTTGTGCGAGGGAATCCGCTGGCACGTAATTCATCCGGGAGTGCCTGTTGAAAACAAGAAGCAACCGCCGGAAAACGCGTCGTTTACCACTCACTCGGACGAGCTCCGTCCATTACCAGCCGGATCGGATTTTTATCTATCCCCTTAACCCTGCTGTTCCGCTTGCGTTCTGTACGCGTTCGGTTCGCTCGACTGCGAATTACGCCTGTACATCTTAACACGATTTCAGTAGAACAAATCTGGTCTTTTTTTCCCATTGGTCTGTTTTCTGTTCCTGCACTAGACTGCACTAGAAGCCTCTTTCTCGCTTTCGACAAATATCAAACATATATATACAGGAAGGTCACCGATACCGACATACCACTTTGTTTTTAGACAATATTTCTTAAACAAAAGGTAAAAATACGTCTTCAAAAACATAAATACAAAAGTAAAAAGTGTCTTCTATCAGATAGTATAAGCAATTTTTATAATAATGTTTGCAATTTTGCAATAATTAAGTTTTTCGTAAGTTATGCAAAAATGAGCGTCTGACAAAATGGGCTCCAAAACTGACACGGTAGGCAGTAATGCTACGTATTCCTATTCTTTTTCTTTTACAGGAATTATCTGTATAAAGTATCTATAAGTAAATGTATATAAGATTTTTCAGAATTATTTTATTTCGTTATAAAACATTTTTATTGAATTATATGCATATTTACTTTATGCTGTTCTGCAAGATGCAAATATGTAACGCGATAGTTTGTCTAGAGTTGTTCCATATATGCACGATTGCCTTTAGCTCCAACAGACTTATTTGACACTATAAAGCAACATTATAAAGATTAAGTTAGCTCATGGTCTGTTTTACGGACAG